AGGATAGCCGTGACTGCCCTGAAACCCTGAGAAGAAACTTCTGGAAAAGACGTGATGGGCTTCTTTATTTCCAACATAGGATCAGGGCACATGGGTGGCAGCTAAGTCCATTTCACTTCCAGGGAAGGCCAATGGTGACAATCCCTTTTCCCGACGTATGTTCCCATTGTTGCTGTCCGCTGTCCTCTCTAGAAACCAACATGAGGCTGCCTGACTTTGGACTTGAACCTCCCTAACTATGAGACAAATGGATCTTTATAAAGTTGGTTGCCTCAAGAATTCCACGGTATTGCAGTAACACGCGGCAGCAGAAAAGAGCCCGGGCAGCAGAATAGTGGCCAGGGAGACTGCCCTGAGTTGAGAGAAGATCATGGCCATTTTCTTCAAAAGAAATCATGTATTAGTTTTTTTTTCCCCTAATAGTAGAAGTAATATATGGTTACTAGATAGTTTGGAAAACACAGGATCTTATAGAAGTCATGCACCGTTCAGGGCTTCGTTGTTGATGATGTGAGAGACTAAATTGTGCCCCTGCCATTAGTTCACTGAAATCCTCTTTGGCACCCACCCTGTGACTACAGTTGGACGTGATGTTTAATTAAATTAAAATGAGGGTGGGCTCTTAATCTAACAGGACCACTGCCTTTATATGAGGAAGTCGGTGTCTTCCCATCCCACCCCCACGGCCCCTTTTACTTCCTTGGCTTTTGCATTTACTTCAGGTGACCTACTCACACCTGAAAACTCAGCTAGAATCCACAAACAAGAGAGAGCATGCAGGACTTGTCTTTGGGGTGTGGTTACCTCACTCCGTGTAGTATTTTCTAGTTCCCCCCATTTACCTGCGCATTTTACTTTTCCTTACAGATGAGTAAAACCCCCTGAGCGTGTGTGCCACACTTTCATTACCCACGTGTCACCGGAGGACACTGGGGTTGTTTCCATTGCCTGGATTTGTGAGTACAGCAGTAATGAAGATGCCTGAGCCAGTATCTGTGGAGTGGGGTGTTGAGTCCTTTGGGCGTGTGCCAAGGAGTGGCGTAGCTGGGTCATACGGAAGATCCACTTTTAGCTTTTGGGAATCCTCCACATGGATTTCCACAGGCTTCTCTAGAGAGAGGGAGAGGAAGACAGAGATGCTCTGAAGCGGGCCATGGAGACCAGGGGGTGGGGCTTTAGCTGGGGTGGGGGAAGAGGCCGGCGCAGAGGGAGATGGAGGGGAGAGAGATAAAGAACATGAAGGATGATTGGAAAATCCATAGGGAAATCTTATTTTATTTGTGCTTAAAATACATATGCAATATATAAGTATACATGTAGACAAATATAAACAATTTAAATGAAGTTACGTCACTTGGGGTGATAATGTTTCCCCCAAAAGCCACAGACTAACAAGGTCCCTAGTGCCAGGCCGAGCAAACGCCCTTCAAATTGTTGGTCAGGGGAGTCCAAGAGACTCCCCAAACAATACAGGCTGCTGCTGTTGCCCTGGGATCCTGCCCAGAGTGTGAAGGTGAGACTCTACTGTTGAGAACTCCATACCCTCTGGACACAGGATTGGAGGAATTGAGTGGGAACTGAGCTGGCAGCCTCTTCCCTGAGTATCTGAAGGTGCCAGGGAGAAAATCCATCAGTAGCCCCCCGCCAGCTGTAAGGCCTATAGACCACAACAATGACCCCCCTGGCAAGATATGCTAAGGTTGCAATCGTGACTCCTATATTTGGGGGTAACCAACAGCTTCCTAGCTGGACGTACGTCCTACTTAATGGGAGCTAATGTGTGCCTGGTACTGTGAACCCAGCTCACTGCACGTGGGCGGAGAGGTCATGGACCCTCGAGGAGAACTTACTACGGCTGCTTTTCTAAAGCAGTACAGTTCTCAACTGTGTCCCAAATACTGGAGCTCACGTCACAGATAAGTGAAGCTCTCAGCCCTCATCAAAGAAGTTTCCTTTTGCAGCAGACAGAGACCTTCACAGAAGGCCACACTGGTGGAAGAACAGAGAACAACTCACCATGGGGTGTCTGGCGAGCCTGTTCCCAGTGGATACATCTACACAACCCCTCACCTAAGGCTCAGGGAACGTCACTAAAGTGGGGGCAGAAAGACTGTAAGAACCTGAGGCCCAGGGCGTCTGTGGCAAGATTGTGTCTTCTGTGTATGACCAAGAAGCTGCCCCCATGAATCGTAATACTATGGCCACCTAGACAAGACCTGCATAATGACATCAGCTGACATCCCAGTGGTTGGGGAATCTCACAAAGTTCATCCCTAGACAAAGAGCTATGGGCAGTCAATGGCTGTGAAGAGAGAGAGAATCGGTTTTCTCCAGGGAGGAGCCCGAAGGCAGGCTGTCTAGTCCCTAAGGGTATGGTGTCCTCAGCAATAGGTGTCACCCTCAGGAAAGGCAACCAAGGTCAGCCCTAGATGCATATACATATAAAGAGCACTGAATGGACTCAGCAGGTTACACACACACACACACACACACACACACACACACACACACACACACACACACCTGTATCAAAACACTTAAAAAGTAAGAGATCATGAATTTGAGAGGGAGCTGGGGAGGCCTGGGGAGGGTTGGAGGGAAAAACATGGGGTGGAAATGATGTAACTATAGCACTCATGTATTAAATTCTCAAGAAATCAATGTTAAAAAACATACTAGGACACACGTACACACAGATGGCTGATCATGAAGCACCCATGAAAAAGGCAGCCATCTACAAACCCAGGAGAAAGCGGCGGGGAAAATCACTTCCTGCCCCTAGTACCTTGATTCTGTGTCGTTATGAAAAAACCAAACACCTGTCATTTAAACCACTCCGCCTGTGGTCCTTGCTTACCAGTCCCGCACAGACCCCAGCCTCGGGCAGTGGTGAGGGAGGGGCCGCTGTCAGGAGGGTCAGTCAGCAAGCCTCCAACGGACAAGCGCGGCGACTGCGGAGCAGCAAAGGGTTCTATCGACTGTTGGGGCTTGAGGCGCCAGTGGACGAGGAGTCACGTGCATTTTCACCTGCGATGGAAAACTGGGGGGGGGGGGGGAGTGTTGTGTATGTTGAGCTGGAGATGCACGAGGGGCCCTGTAGAGCACAGTCCAGTGTCCTTTGGTGCCGTCCAGGGGTTCAAGTCAGAGCCCTGGAGATGTACAATAGCACACGAGTACAATAGTGATCACTGTGTAAGTAGAAGAGGTTGCCTAGCCGCAGAGGCCCTGGCCAAAGACAGGCCCCCGGGGAACTGGATGGTGATGCTCATCAGTGAGGAAGGGTCCATCGTTGTTACCATGTGGATGAACTGCCTCACAGCTGTTCGAACTTATTAGCTTGATTCTGAAATAATATTGTCTGCCTCTCTTCATTTCACTCTCCACCCACTGTTTAAAAATTCCCAAGATAGGGGCAAACAGACAGCTCCCCAAAGGCCAAATTGGTCAAATTAGGGGGATGGCTCTCTCCTTAACCTACCCCTGTGATTATGTGGTGCATATGGTGGTTGGCATGCTGTCCTGCTGGATCCACCATATGTCCAGGTAAGTGTGGAGCAGGGTAGACAGACAATGGGCTGCTTTGTTTTGAGTGAGAAATGGTCATAATTCTTTATACCCTGTGGCCTCTTTAAAAATAATTTTCATTTTAAGTGTGTGATAACCTGTGCTAAAATGTACAGGAATGGGAATGATGGTCTCCTCTAAGAATAATGATATGATGATTATTATTATCATATTGTGATACAGTGGGCATTAGCTCGCACTGCAAGATTGCTATTGGTCAAACTCTAGACTATACTGTTTCCTTGGGAAACACTTTCCCACTAAGACACATGATTCTTAAACTCTGGAGAACACAATTTGATCATTTTGTTTCCAAGAGCACGCTACGCAGTCTGTCTAGCTCAGAACCCCGATTTCTCCCCCTTTTTTAAACTTCAGTCATGGTGTGTGTTACCTGACCTCTCTGTCTAACAGTTTCCTGGTTTGTCACAGTGTCGTCTTCCTCACAGACGTATCACGGAGGGAAAGCACTGGGAGCACAGCAAAGCTAAAATAAGTAAATGAATAAACAGATAAAGAAATAAATTAATAAATAAAATAGGTAGCTTGCTAGCTTACTTATGTTCCCTACAAACTGGTCTTCCAGGATGCTTTCACGTGCCTCAGAATGATTGCTGGGCAGGCTGGAGAGAGCGCTCAGTCAGTCAGGTACTTACTGTGCTAGCACAGGGCTTGAGGTGATGGTGCACACTGATAACCCCAGTTTCAGAGAGGAGGAGGTGAGGGGGGGGGGTCGCTGGCTAGACAGCGTAGACTAATTTGTGAGTCCCAGGTCCTAGTAAGAGACTGTCACAAAAAGCAGGTGGGTGGGACCTGAGGAGTGATTCCTAAGGTTGACCTCTGACCTCCACATGAACTCACACACACGTCTGCCAATCTGTATACACATCTGTACACATGGACGCTTGTACACACACACACACACATACATACACACACACACACACACACACACGATAAAATTAAATTAAAATAGTTGTTGGGAAATAAAAGCAAAAACATATTCATTAACAAGGGTTACTATGATTATCTTCAGGCCTAAGCTATATGGATCCCAGAAGTTTAGTTTGTCTTTAATATTCTTCAAGGCATTAATCCAATTAACTCTGGGTTTTTCAGAGTATGTTTTCTCAGGCGCTGTCTTCATTCAGGTGAAGCCAGCTACTTGCCTTCTTATGTGTTGAGAAATTATTTCCCTCTTTAAAACACAAATGTGCCCTTGCAGTCTTCTTATTGCAATGTATATGGAATTCTAGCAAATTTCTTCGAGTCATTGCCCAAGCAGGGCTGTCATTGTTACCCTGGTTTTATACCAAAGTGTTCAATTTCACTTCTCAGGGAAGTTCCACAATCCCCCACCCAGTGGAGAAGGCATTTCGCTGTCTGCCTGACATTTTATGAAGAATTAAAAATAACGAAGCCAGCAGAGATACGGAGGGAGACTAATTTGGAAACTTGGAATGGTCGCTTTTAATTTGTTGACAATGTGGTGTTTGCAGGGGGAGGGAGGGGACCAGGGCACAGGATGGCCGCTTGTCTGGGCCTTGTATTAATGGAGTAACAGCTGAACTCAGTGTTCAGAGCGAACACATCAAAGACCGTCATCTGAGATCTCATTTCTTCTATTCCACGGTGTCAAAGGTGGCTGCAAATATATCCAGCACTTTCTGGGTGGCATTGTTTAGGATGCTGGCCCCAGCAGATGTCCCCAAAATGTACCTCAGCCTGACGGAGCTGGGACCACATGGGATGGTATGTCTCCTCATTAGCAAACAGAAAAGAAGGAAGAAAAAAAAAAAGAAAAGGCAAGGATGAGAAAGGAGAGAGATGAAAAGAATACACAAAGACATTAACATATTTACATTGTCTCCCTCGCATTTCAAATTCTCCCTCAGCCCAAGTGTCTGCGGCGGCTCCTTCCTTCTGTTTGTGTGTTTACTCGCACTAAATAGATTATGGTAATCAGGCACATAAATGCACGCAACTGTTATTATGGCATTTTAATCATGGACTTTTTCACTGGAAGCCTTCATTAGAATTCTCATAATCTTACTTGTTAGTGTAACAAACAGTAATAAATGCCAAAGAGCTTGGATTAAGGCAGGGGCCTTGGGGCTTTAAAAGAGGAATATGGAAATGTTGTTGAATCTCTGCATTACTTATTGAAATGTCACGCAAACAGTTCGAGATTCTAAATAGCTTACTCATTATCCGGAGAGGGACGCGGGTAACCTGAGCACAGTAATGATGTCTTTTTCCGAGCGTCGCAAACATATGCCTTCCATACATACCAGGCAATTCTTTGGAAAGAGCCGGATGGTCCAATGTGCAGTCCTGGCTCGGGCTTTGTGGGCTTCTATTCAGCGGGGAGCTCTGGGAAAAGGGGGTGGATCACGATGGTTCTGACCTTATTGATAGATGAGCCCGGTGCCGGGTTCCTAATTCGGTGGGTGGGCTGTTGGAAATGATGGAAACTCAATTGGAAAAGTTTACTGTTTCATTTCATTTATTTTATACTTCCTGGTAAGCAACGTGAATATGAGCATACATCCACACTTCTTAATTCTTGTTAGCGTTACATTTCACAGGATTAGTTGGTAAATTTCTGGGGGAAAAACCCATATATGTGCTGTAAATAAATACATTCTGTAAATATACATATGTATGTATGTATGTGTGTATGTTCTAGTGAACAACTTCACAGCCATGTGCTTGAGAATAAGTCTCTTTTTTTAAAATAGTGTAGAAAGAGGCCCATAGATGTCTTGGACCTGTGAGGTGATCACCCCCTTTTTGCCCAAGCTCAGAACTAATATATTATGTTCTCAGTGGTGGAGAGGCATTACCCATGTGGCAAACCAGCCCAAGATCTAGGGCTTAAACAAGCAATCTGTTATTATTTCTCTTGATTTCTGGGGAGTGTGTGTGTGGGGAACCTATATACAAGGATTTCATGACAGAGTTGTAATGCCTAAGGTCGTGGAGCCCAAAGACTTCAGAGAACACCAAAGGCGTGCAGTCAAAGCTCAACCTTGGCATGTAGAAAACCCTGGATTAATTAGAACTCCTTCTGCAGGGCTTGGCCCTCTGGTCACCCCTTAAGCAAAAGCAGTTTGGCAGCAGATGCAGCAGGTAGCCCAGCTTCACCTCTGCTGTGATAGACTCCAGTGCACACCGTCGGATGGCTGGAGTCTCCTTCTGACTTGTGCTCTCCTTGGTGGTGTTTGCAACAGCAGAGTCAGGCTTCTGCTCCACTGACCTGGCCACTAAACCAGAACATCACTTCCCAACAACTGACTCCTCAAAATATGTGCTGCTTCCAGACCAGTCAGACCCCCGAGTGGCCAGGCCCAGACTACGTATCAACCCTGGGTGGGTGTCACAGTCTGCTTTCTAGTGCGTGATAAACACCACGATCAAAAGCAACTTGGGAAGGAGAGGATTTATTCGGCTTACATATCCTGAGCACAGCCCATCATTGAGGGAAGCCAGGAGAGGAGCAGAGGCAGGAAGCTGGGGACAGGAACTGAAGCAGAGGCATGGAGGATCGCTGCTTACTGGCTTGCTCCCCGTGGCTTGCTCAACCTGCTTTATTTTTTATTTTTTATTTTTTATAAAATTCCAGGAGACCACCTCCCCAGGAGTGGCACCACCCACAGTGGGCTGGACCCTCCCACGTCAATCATTAATCAAGAAAATGCCCCCACAGGCTTGCCCACAAGCATTTGCTTCAAACGAGGGTCCTTCTTCCCAGATGACCCCTCCTGGTGTTGTTTCTAGAAAACTAACAGGCATAAAGGGTCTAGTCTTGCCATTAAACCCAAACAGACTGAGGTTGGGGGAGGGATGCCCACCCCCATCTCCCATCCTCTGTGAGGATGTTGGGTATTAATTATTGTTACTCCAATGGCGGTCTATTGCAAGGACTACTCCAGGAAGCAGATGACTCTTTCTGACCAGGGGTGCACAGGCTGAGAGTCAACATTGCCTCTGGCTAGATCAGGGCTGTGCCAATCTGCCACGGACACGATCCACAGAAAGCACACACTAGTGGCTCCTTCATATTCCCTAGCTATGATACCCCAGCCTTCAGAGGACGTGCATAGATGTGGGAGTCGGGGGACGCTTCCCTCCCTTCCTGTTTTATCCTCGTAAGTTCTGGTGGGTCTGTGTCAGATGGAGGCCCAAGTTCCATAATAGCTCTCTGTTTGAGGAGAGGGCACTCTCTTGGGGACAGTTGTCACCCCAGTGGTCTGTCCCCATCCCCAAACCACAGATTCAGGGCCTGGATTTAGCTGGGCAGGCTCAGGATCTAGATGGCACTGCCACGCACAGCCCCCGGCCTGAACTGGGCTATGACTGTTCCTTGCTGTGCCTCGTTTTCGCCATTTGTAATTGCAAACCCAGAAAACCTGCTTTCTAGAGGTCTAAGGACTGCGTGGCTTTCTAGACGTGGCCCCTCCACCCAACGATGACTGTGGTTGTCACATGGCGGTGTCACTCGGTTGACTAAGGGGATAGCCGAGTCACCTGTGTCGGTCGGTTGGAAGTTGAACTCAACGAAATATTTCAATTTGGGGAGAGGTTTTCTTACTCTTCTTTGGAATC